TTTTATTATGTTAAGGTATGTTCCTTTTATCCTGAGAAATTTGAGGGCCTTCATCATAAATGAATGTTGAACTTTGTCCAATGCTTTCTCAGCATCTATTGATATGGTCATATGACTTTTATTTTTCTCTTGTTGATGTGCTCGATTGCATTAATTGATTTTCAGATGTTGAACCATCCTCGTGCCCCTGGGATAAATCCCACCTGGTCATGATGAATTATCTTTTTGATGCATTGTTGAATTCTGTTGGGTAGGATTTTGAGGATTTTTGTATCAGTGTTCATTAGAGAGACTGGCCTGTAGTTTTGCTTTTTAGTCTTGTCTTTGTTCAGTTTTGGTATTTTTGTAATGTTGGCTTCATAAAACATACTTGGTAGCATTCCTTCCTTCTCCATTTTTTGAAAGAGTTTGTGTAAGAATGTCTGGTAGTACTCATTTGTGAAGCCCTCTGCTCCTGGGCTTTTGTTTTGGGGGGAGGGTTTTGATTACTGTTTCATTTCATTGCTTGTAATTGGCTGTTTGGGTGTTCTGTTTCTTCTTTGTCTAGCTTTGGATGTTTATCTACTTCTAGGAATTTGTCCATCTCTTCTAGATTGTTGAACTTGTTTGCATATAACTATTTATAGTAACTGCTGATATTCTTTTGATTTCTCCTTTCATTTATGATCCTATTTATTTGGCTTTCACCTGTTTTTTCTTCATGAACCTGGCTAGTTTGTTTATTTTATTTTTTCAGAGAACCAACTTTTGGTTTCATTGATCTTTGGGTTTTTTTTTTTTTTTAAAGATTTATTTATTTATTCGTACAGAACTGGGGTACAGGCCAGAGATGCAGAGGGTAAGAGGATTCACCAGAGACAGAGTGGGGTACAGAACAGGCAGATCGACGAAGTACACTGCTGAGGGGAGCAGCGGGCGGGTCAGGAGAGGTCTGCCTCGCCATGTGGATCTCCTCCGGGGCAGGCAGGGATCGAACTCATGCGGAAGTGGCTTAAGCTTCTTTGTGCTGTGCTTTAACCCGCTGCGCCACCAGGGAGGGCCCCTTTGGGTTGTTTTTTAACTTCTACTTCATTTATTTCTGCTTTGATATTTAGTATTTCCTTTTTTCCACTGGCTTTTTTTTTTTCCAGTTGTTTAAATGAATGGGAAATTAGGTTGAGTTCTTTTTTGTTTCTTGATGTGAGCCTGTATTGCTATATCCTTTCCTCTTATAATAGCTTTGCTGTATCCCATACATTCTGGAGAGTTGTGTCCTCATCGTTCATTTCAAGGTGTTTTTTGTTTTTAAATTTCTTCTTTGATCCAGAGGTCTTCCAGTAGTGTGGTTTTCAATCTTCATGAAGTAGGAGGGTTCCTTGCTTTCTTTTCATGGCTTATTTGTAGTTTGATGCCTTTACGGTCAGAGAGGGTAGTTGATAGAATTTTGATGTTAGTGTATCTGTTGCTGTTTGCCTTAGGTCCCAGTATTTGGTCGATTCTGGAGAATGATACATGTACATTTAAGAAAAACTGCACTCATATTTTCTGGGGGCGTAGTGCCCTGTAGATGTCTGTTAAGCCAGTAAGATTTAAGTCCTTATTTAGAGCTCCTATGTCCTTATTTTTTGTCTCATTGATTTAGCCATTGGCAGAAGAGGTATGCCCTACTTCACATGTATTTTCCTAATGTCTGTTTTCATAGATAATAATTGATACATTTTGGTGCGCCTTCATTTGGTGAGTATATGTTGATGAATGTTATGGCTTCCTGATATATGGTCCCCTTAATCATATTGTTAATGACCATCTATATCTCTTTCTCTAGTTTGAAGTCTATTTTATCTGATAAAAGTATAGCTGTTCTTGCCTTCTTTTGTGCTCCATTTGTCTGCAGGATTGTTTCTCATCCTTTTACTCTTTTTTTTTTTTTAAGATTTTCTTTAGTTATGCATACAAGAACTGGGGTACAGACAAGATGTGCAGGGGGTAAGAGGGTCACCAAAGAAAGAGTCAGGAGCAGAACAGGCAGATGTACTCATACACTGCTGAGGGAGCAACAGGCAGGTTGGAAGAGGTCTGCTGCGCCATGTGGGTCAGCTCCCTGCTACAGTGGCTGTGGACAGCTTTTTAGTGCTCTGCTTTCAGTAATTGTGCTACCAGGGAGGGCCTAACCTTTTACTTTCAATATGTGTTTATCTTTTGTAGTTAAATGTAACTCCTGTAGACATAAAAAGATTGGGTTCTAGTTTTAATTCAGACTGCAGGATAAGCTATCTTTTTATTGATTGGTTTATTAGTACATTTACATTCAGAGTTAATGTTGATACATTGGCATCCTTATTAGCCATTTTGTTTCACAGTTTATCAATTCCAACTTCTTAATCTTCTGAATGTGATCTGAGATTAAAATGAGTTGTATTATATGTAGAAACTAAGGCTGTGTAACCAATACCATGTATTGTGAGGAAAAGTCAAAACCCTCAGCTGGCTCAGAGTACCTCATGTCCCCACTTATTTTTCTTTTGGTCATTCAGCATATTTTAGTTCCTGGATGGCACTGATCTCATCTTGAGCACAGTTCATTTGTTTAGTTCACTATGTTTCTTCTCCCTCCAAAAAAGTCTTCCTTTTCCCTTCATACTGATGAAATGGATTGACCACAATCTAGTGATTTTTTTTACATTTGCAGGCATAGATTACATCCAGAAGTGACAAAACAAGTTGCCTGGAAGTGTCATGCTTGAAAGGAAAAAGTCTTCAAGCCTGTCTGGACATTAACTTGAATGTACCAAAGTAGAAAGAAAGTGAGCTCATCTCATGTTTCACTTCTTTGGTTTTGTCTCCATGGTGCTAGGCTAGAGCCTCCATTTCCTGCCTTGGTACCAAAGTCTTGCTTGGTAACAGATTCATCTGTCAGCAAGCTCCTGCTTTCAGCCTCTGAGTTCCAGGTTCCTGAATTTGATGAGCTCGATGGTGTGACAGCAGCATGTCCCCGACCACAGAGCAGTCCTCCAAAGCAGAAAGAGGTAAATGTAAAATGCTGGTGGAGCCAGGCACAGTGGTACTGGTGGCGTCCCTCAGTGACTCCAGGTCGTCACACAGTAGGTATAGAGACACTTCTGAAATTCTTACCACTATTTTTTAAAAAGATTTGTTTATGCATACAAGTGCTGGGGTGTAGGTCAGAGGTGCAGAAGGTGAGAGGATTCACCCGTCAGAATGGGGAGCAAAACAGGTGGATCTGCTGAAACACACTGCTGAGAGGAGCAGTGGGAGAGACAGGAGAGGCCTGCTGCGCCATGTGGGTCAGCTCCCTGGCCGGGGCTCAGACTCATGCTGCAATGACTGTGGACAGTGGCTGCAGATAGTGTTGTGGCTTAACTCCTGTGCCACCAATGTGGCCCTGAATTTCTTTTCTTAACACTGTAACTTTGGCTGAGTACTAGAGATAACCAGGATAGATTTGCAACTTGACCACTGAAGGATACCCTACATTTCTTAGTCTATGTTGTTTTCCAGGCCCTTTCTTTCCTGATGACAGCACTTACCAGTGAATACTGGTAGAAAATTATATGAAAAAGCTGCTTCGAGTATACAAAGAAGATGAGTGAACAACAGTCCTTTTTAATTTCATGTTCTGTATTGTCTTTGTCAGTTGCACACTTTCATTGCTATAGTCTCAACACATGAACTGAATGTATAATTCTTTTGTAATAACATAAGGGGAGAGGGTGGTTGCTAAAAATACAGTCAGCAAGAGTAGACATAGAAGCTAGAATTATCTTTAAGCTGAGAAAGCATTATCTTGAGTGTCAAGAAAAAGGGACTTTATGTATTTCAAATATCTTACAACTTGACCATCTTTCTTTCTAAACCTTAAAAATAGGTTGAGCCAGAGAAGAGGCCAAAGAAAGTCTCACAGATTCGCATCCGGAAAACCATTCCTAAACCAGACCCCAATCTTACCCCCATGGGCCTTCCTCGACCAAAAAGGTGAGTTCTTTCTCTAATCCAAACCATTCATTTACTTCTAGGTATTTATCCAAAAGAATCTTTTGGTAAAAGGTTTAGAGACTTATATACAATGATATTTTAATGCATTCTCAACAATTTTTTGATTGAGCGCACTTTACCAGGTTTTGTATTATCCCTTTGCATATGAGTCTCAGTTAATCTTCCAAAGACGCTGGAATGTAAGCACTGTTGTCCTAGGTTAGGTCAGGATACTGGGCTCAGTTAAGAAGCCTTTGTTAGGGGGACCTCACTGATGGGGCAGGGGGTTAAGCTGCAGCACTATCCACAGCCACTGCAGCATGAGTTTGATTCCCGGTCAGGGAGCTGACCCACATGGGACAGCAGACCTCTCCTGTCTCGCCCCCTGCTCCCCTCAGCAGTGTCAGTAGGTCTGTCTGTTCTGCTCCCTACACTGTCCTGGTGAATCCTCTCACACTCCAGTTCCCCAGTTCCACACCTCTGGCCTACACCCCAATTCTTATATGCATATTAAAAAAAAAAAGACTTGTGATAGGCTATGGTATCATCATGCACATATTTCTATCACACAGGTTTTACCTAATAAACCCCATATCCAAATTCACAATGTTGTAACCATTAAACTAGAAGGGACCTAAATATTATGATGGAAAAGAAATTTAACAAAATGACAGATCTGTGTTTTTTTCTATACTATAACTTAAAATTTTGATTGCTAGCACTTTATGATAGACAGTTGCTAACTTTATAAAGTGAAGTGGAAAGCAAAAAAACAGATTATGTATGTGTTGTGGCTCCCGTATTTGGAATTATACATATTACATAGGGGCATACAGTGAAAATTTAAAGTTTTTTTTTTAGAGATTTATTTATGTGTATAGAACTGGGGTACAGTCCAGAGGTGCAGGGGCGGTGAGAGGATTCACCAGAGACAGCGTGGAGCAGAACAGGCAAATTGATGAAGTACACTGCTGAGGGGAGCAGCGGGATGGTCAGGAGAGGTCTGCTGCGCCATGTGGGTCACCTCCCTGGCTGGGGATGAAACTCATGCTACAGTGGCTGTGATAGCTTCATAGTGTTGTGCTTTAACCCAGAGCACTGCCAGGGAGGGTACTAAACAGTGTTTTAAAAACCTCTAGAGTTGTATTTTCTTATGGTAGATGCTTCTCCCTCATTCCTCATTGGCAAATAGAAGTCTAACAGCGATCCTGTAAGTAAATGAGAGAAAATTATTTAACCTTCCTGAGCTCAAAGAACTTATCTGCGACCCTCCCTGGTGGCACAGAAAGTGCAGTACTGCAAACTAGCGTTGCAGCTGCTTCGGTGCAATTTTGATTCCCTGTCCTGGAGGTGACCCACGTGGTGCAGCAGATCTCTTCTGATTGGCCCACTGCTCCTCTCAGCAAGCAGTGTAGTTCGTCAATCTGTCTGTTCTGTTTGCCACTCTGTCTCTGGTGAATCCTCTTATCATCACCCCCAACATCTCTGACCTGTACCCCAGTTCTGTATGCATAAATAAATACATCTTTTTTTAAAACTTTAAAAAAAAAAACTTATCTGCAAAACAGGAATAACAACTCCCGACACATTATATTTCTATTTATGGGCCAGTTGAAGGAGAAAATGTGTGCTGTAGCTGTTACTTTGTTTTACACAAAACAAATGCAATAAATAAATAATTATTGTTGTGACCATGAATGACATTCCATTTTTCCCATGTGGTCTTTAATCTTTTTTGTTTAAAAAGATTTATTTATGCATACAAAAACTGGAATACAGACCAGAGTTGTGGATGGGGGATTGAGAAGATTCACCTGAGACACACTGGGGGGCAAAACAGGCTTATGTACCAAAATGAAGTACTGAAGGAGCAGCAGAGGAGACAGGAGAGGTCTGTCGCACTGTGTGGGTCAGCTCCCAGGACAGTTGGGGATTGAACTCGTGCTGCAGTGGTACCAGCAGCCTGACAGTGCTCTCTCTAAAACCCCCATGTCATAAGGGAGGTTTTTATCTTTTTGCATATGAGTCTCAGTTAATCTTCCAAGGACGCTGGAATGTAAGCACTGTTTTCCTAGGCTAGGTCAGGATATTTTTATCTTAAACTTTTTTTGTTCACCCAGCTGTATATCTTTCCAAGAGAAAAATTTTAAATATTAGATATATTAGCTTGAGTAGTACTTGTTAGAATGAAAAAGAGGATTCATTCCTGGATATATTCTGTCTTGCATTTATATGTAGATACAAGATCTGAAAAAGTTTATTTATCTAAATTAGTTGGAAATAGAGAAAGTCTTCATAAGGACCCTCAATTCTTTCAACTTCTTTTGAGTAATATGTCTAAAATACAGACTGAACTATCATTAAATTATATTTGATGATTTATCAGCTTTTTGTTTGTTTTTGAAAGCAAAAGTTTAAAGCAGCACTGACTCGCATAGGTTCTGCTACCTGGGTATTGAGGGCAGTCCCTGCCTCTGTGTGGGAAAGACACCAAAACAAGCTGGCTAGTGAGTGTCAAATTCCAAATAATTTATATCTTGCTCTTTCACTTTGAGGCACTTTATTTAACGCAATATGAAAAGGGTTTGAGAAAGTTAACATTTTTAACAAAATCTTGCCTGTGTTATCTTCCAGTACATGGCTTTTACTACTTCAGGTGTAAAGTTGCAGATTTACTGCATTAAGTTTAAGGGAGAACACTTGGCATATAACGTAATTGGCAAAGGCAATTTGTATTATTGAAATCCATCAGTCAACTCATTCTTCTTAACTTCTGTTTTCCAATTCAAGAAAACGTGTTAATCTGTACCTTTAGGAAATATATTAAAACCATTGAGAAATAATTACAGAACCCATATTATAGGTTTGCAGCATAAGTCAGTATTGATATAATGTGTAAAAAATATAATTTAAACACTTTAATAATACATTTTTAAAACAACATAGTAAATGCAGCTTTTTATTACAGAATTTCTAGTAAAGCAGTGTGATCTGTTATTTAAATTATTATGAATATGTAGAAAATAATGCTTTAGTAAATTATATGTGTACACGTAAATCAAACTGTCGACTTTGGAGAACAATTAGAAATTGTTATTAAAAAGTCAGAAATAAATTCATTAACTTATATTAAGTCTTATGGTTACTCCAATATTTAATTGGAGAAAGTAGAAAAATGTTGTATGGATAACATGGAAGTACACCTTATAATTTTTGTTGTTAACAAAGAGAAGTTGCAACATTTTATAAGATAAAATAAGGATTCAATAATTGAGTTAAATATTTCTTTGTGACTTGATAAAAATTCAGACCTTAGCTGAAGAAAATTACTTAAAATTCTTACCTGTAAGTTTTATAAACTTTGTTGTCAGATGTTTTATATTCACAATAAACAGTTCAGTTCTTTTTTGTAAAATAACAATCAACTATTGAATGGAGTTTTTTCTAAGTGATAACATACTATTAATGAGAAGTAAACCACTTGAAAAAAACATTGTGTACAATTAAACACATACAGAAAGGTTTAGTGTTTGAAGCTCTCTTTTGTAAAGAGGCTCTCTTAGGTAGGCGCTCTTCTGTACGCTAACCTGATGAATAAGGCACAGTCTCTCCAACAGCCCTATTCCACAGCAAGTGAAATCAGAATTTCTAATACTAGTCAAATACCCTGTTTCTAAGTCACTTTTCTTTTAAAGGAATGCTGTAAGATGGGAAAAGTCCAAAATAGTTTCACAGTGATTTCTTTACTCATTGAAGAGGAATAGCTTAGCACGATCAGTGATTTGATTCTTATACTAAAGTTAGAATTCAGGTTGAATATGAATTTGTGGGAATAAACAAATCTTCATGAGCATTTAGGGACATTTTTCAAATCTACATCACTTGTAGGGAATTAAAGATTGGTAGATTGATTCACCTAAAACTGTGTTCTCACACATTCTGTGAAAAGTCTTATGGTACACTAGAGTGGAGGCAACTGACTGACCTAGTGTATTAAGTAGCAACCTCACTTAGTACCTCACTTAGGGGGGTTTACCTTACTATCATGTATTAGCCTGGCTCCCATGGAATTTTGAGTGGGAGGAATTTTAAATAAAGTGTTAAAATATAGCAGGGGGTTAACCTTAAAAATGTACAGAAAATTCTGAAGGCCACCCTCAAGCCTAACGAGAGACTGTTTAAGGAAGAACAACTTGGTGCTATCACCCCAGGTTGGGACTTGGACTTTGCTGGAGATGTATTTGCAGCCATTGCATGGCTGTCTTGCCAAGGCCAGAGCTGGTTAAACATAAAATGACTTTCTGGGACACCGATGAACTGGGGTTGGCAGACATGCAAGGGAAATTAAAGTGCTGCTGCAGATGCAAATCCTGAAGCATGTTGTGTGTGCTTCAGGAGGGCCACAGGAAACAGCTCTCAGGAAATTGATGGTGCCACTGTAGACTTCAGATCTGGAGTATCCCATCTATGTCAGAAAGTTGTGGCTTGCAAAAGACATAAAAACCCTTCAGAAGGAAACTTGCACTCCTATGTTTATTGCAGCATTATTTATAATAGCTCAGATACGGAAACATCTAAATGCCCCAAACAGATGAATGGATCAAGAAGATATGCTATACGCAGTGGAATACTACTCAGCGGTCAAAAATAATCAACTCCTGCCAATTGCAGAAATAATGGATGGAGCTGGAAGAGATTATGCTAAGCAAAATAAAGAAAAAAAACAGTACCGAATGGTTTTACTTATAAGTGGAGTATAGGGAAGCTGGACAAAGGGGCAAGAAAAAGACAATACTTGGAAACTGACCATAGAGCTTGGGCATACAGCAAGGGAGGAGGAGGGAGTGGTTCAAGACAGCAGAGGGAAGAGCAAGTGTCTATGGTGATGAATCATGGATACTGTGCTGGTGAGATAACTCAAGGGACTACACTTGAGGGGAGAAATCATATATTGTGCAAAAGCATTAATGATGTAAGAAAATAAATAAATTTAATTTTTA